AGCTGGCTCAAAATAAAAAATAAAAAGGGCTGGGAATGTAGCTCAGTGTAAGGAACTGAGTTCAGTTCATTTCCAGCATCACAAAACAAACACAAAAAAAACCTCAACACTGACTTCGGTTTAGTTTTTTTTATTTTGTTTTTCCCATATCAAATTTTATCAAATATTACTGTTTGGTTTTCATTTCCTGAACAATTTTACCATGTATCGTTTCACTTTATTTTTACAATTTGTATTTTTTTACTTTATTAAATAATTATGTATTATTTCTTTATATTCAGTTTATTTGATTTAGTCCTTATTGCCTTATTTATTCTCATCATTTTGTGGTGACTATTTCACCAATAGTTACATATCTAAACAAGTACAAGAGTGACCATTTATATTTAATCCTTAGTGAATCCATGGAAAAACTGAGAGTGGCTCCTTTGCCCAAGGCCAAACTGCTGTAAAACTATGTGTTCTCCACCTGGCACCCACCTGCAAGGTGGAGAACACACTCGGCAGATCCCAAAAGCGCGGACACCTGCAGGCATTGGAGGATTTCTTGTTGAATTCACTTGGTGTAGAGCTCAGTCACTGATATTTTCTAAGCTCCTAGGTCATTGTAACAGATAGCCAGAATTGGAACACTGTTCTTAAAATCTAGAGCTGCCCTGTCTGATACAGTAGCCAGTAACTCTAGAGAGTTATTTAAATTTAAGTCACTGAAGTTAAATAAACATTAAGATTGGGCTCCTTAATCACTCTTGCCCACTCAAACACCAGATGTCTATCATCTCAGGAAGTTCAGTGGGGCAGCCTGGTCTGGAGTCCAGGATCAGGAGCTCTCAGCCCAGCTACAAAGTGGAAACACTCAACCTGGGGAGCAGGTGAAGCCGTGCAGCCCTCCACAGACCAGTGAAACCAGCACATCCGGGCTGAACGTGCCAGGTGCCAAAGATCTGGACAGGGACCAGGGTCACCTCCCCTCCAGATCCCTCTGAACAGCCTACAATAATATAAGGGAAGCTGTCCACTGACGCCCAGAACAGGAGTCCAGGTTCTGGCACTGGGTTGGCCTGAGTGTCTTCCATCTCTAGGACAAAGCTTCCTTTTACAGGCATTTGAAACTTAATTTTGTCCGCACAAAGCTAATCCATCCCCAGAAATTGACTCTGGGGTCCCTCGGTCTTAGGGCTGCTCCACTCATAGGTACATGGGTGGGTGGAGTACTGAGCATCCCCAAGGCAGTTCCCAGATTGAGGTCCCAATCTTGAGACATGGAGGGGTGGGTGGGTCGCTGGGTGGATGGATGGATGGGTGGATGGATGGATGGATGGATGGATGGATGGATGGATGGATGGGTAGATAGGTAGATGGGTGGATGAGTGGATGAGTGGATGAGTGGATGAGTGGATGGCTTTCCAAGATCCCACTGAAGGCCACCAGACCAGTCTGATCTAATAAAAACACCCAAAAGCTGCCAGT